TGCATGTCTGGAAAAACCAAGTTTTTTTTTAATAAGAACAATAAAAGAGTTAACGTAATAAAATATTTGTTCTGAAGAGGGTTGAGGAAGCAAATGAAAATAGGGTATTGTTTTATTATATAAATGTTTATTTCTTTCATGAACAAGTAATTTTTGATAAGTCATAAAAGTTTAAAACAAAGCTTGCAATAAATGGACAACTGGTTTGCCATCATTACGAACGTGAAAAAATTAATAAACAAAACTATGATTATCTAATTATCTAACCTGCGAATATTTAAATTTGTGATAATCACGTTGTTTATCTAGGTGATAAAATCGAAGGTGAGTGAAATTAGCCCATATGCAAATTGTGATATAATTAAGCATGTCCGCTATGCTGTTGATTTCCAACTAAATACATAATTCTGCATAATGTTGGTCAAAATCACGTGTAAAAAGAAGAAATTTAATAATGATATTAACCAATCAGCGCTTTAAGAACGCCCTAAGTAAAACTTTTTTTTTTACTTTAGCGGTCTGGCCATAACGAGCTGTAATACTATTATCACAGTCTGAAGTGAAATTAAAAGGCTCCGAACAAGACAAAATAATTTTGCTTTGATTTTTAACATGTAGTGTTATGTATGTATATGAGAAATTTTTATTCGATTTGACGTGTAATTCCGGATAAATAAAATTATAGTCGAAAAATGTAATTAAAGTTTTGAATTTATTCAATGAGACCCAATTCACGAAGATACTCAGGAATAACCACGTATGGGTCTTCGTAATACCAAACATACCTTAAGGCAACCCAGTTTTCTTCGCATAATTCTTTCTTGATTTGATCGCCATTATGATATATTTTTTCATGTTGTATGCCTTGTACTTGATTGCAAAGCCATATTGTGGATAAAATATATCGAGTTCAGTCCATTTGGATATTCTTGTGACTTTAAAAAACCAGGCGAATTAGTTGCGCAATGTGGACACCACGTCTTATTGTTTTTTATATTATTAAAAGATGCATTCCACTTGCGTCCTTCAGAACAACGCCATAATAGAGGTGAAACTATTAATATATGTTTCGGAAAGGCATTCACAATATGGCACCATGTCTTATTTATTTTTTATATTATTAAAAAGATGCACTTCACTCATGTTTTTTTGTACACCACCATTGCATTGGAGTATTGGCATTAAATGTATTTCCAATTTTTGCTACGAGCTAGTTTCTTTGCATTTTCGATAGTAAGAGTCCTATTACCTGCGCAATGTGGGCACTATGTCTTACCATTTTTTATATCACCAATTTATGTTCTTTAGCACAACACCATAACAAGCATTCATTTCACTCAAAATACGGTACTTTTTGTAATTAGAAAAACTACGCTTTATATATCAATCGATGATATTTTAGTATACTTTTTTCTTTGATCTTAAAAATATAAAAAGAAGTTTTTAGTTCCGCATAACGAAATGGCTTGAAAGATATTCAATCAAAAATCTACTTTAAATCAACCAATCATGATATCGCAAATAAAAAAAAATTTATATTTAGGTCAAAAAAAATAGTACCTTTTTTTTTTATTTTATTTTTTTTTTACCATGACTTCAGTTCCAATTCTACCCTCTTCAAATTGGCAAAAACTTAAATCCGTACGTTATACTCATCGAATTGAATTTTATCTATCTTGAAATAATATAATCACAATTAATTCAATTTTATATATTTTTTTTTTTAGAAAATTGTTAAAGAAACCACTAAAACTAATAAAAATAAACGAAAGCGTAATGAAACTGAACACAAATCAAATAAAAGTGTGAAAACCAGGTAATTTAATAGAAATACCCTTTTACAAATAATTTATAATTTTAATAAAAAAATTATTTTGTTAATATGATTTATCGTAGTTCAAATGGTTCGGCAACAAAAGTTAGAACGACTCAAATAAGTGATTTATGGTTCGATGATATTAAAAAAAATGGATTTAATCAAATGAGTGAATACTCTTCAAGAGAAAGTTCTTTAGTATCAGAAGTTTCCTCTACAAATAATAAAACAAAGTAATTATTACCTTTTTTTTTTTTTTTTTTGCATTTCGATTCTTTTATTTATTTTATTATTGTTTTTTTTTTTTAAAAAAAAAAAAAAAAACCTATTTTAATCAAAAATCAGAATTGGGAAATATGTTGCAATTGATTGTGAAATGGTTGGAGTTGGACCTGGTGGAATTCAATCGGCTCTTGCAAAAGTGACGATAGTAAATTACTATGGTGTGATCATATTAGATAAATATGTTAGACCTATAGAAAGAGTTACGGACTTTAGAACTGAAATTAGTGGAATCACACCAAAATTATTAGTAAATTGTAAGTAAATTTATTTATTTATTTATTTATTTTTTACATAATATATATATATATTTTTTTTAAAACCAATCATGATTTTTTTAGCACATGATTTTAAACAAGTCCAACAAGAAGTTTACAACATAATTAAAGATAGAATAGTAGTTGGACACGCTCTTCACCATGATTTTAAAATGTTAATGCTAGACCATCCACGCAAGATGATACGTGATACTTCTTTATATAAACCATTTCGTCAAATTACTAAGGGAAAAACACCTTCATTAAAACGTCTTGCAAGTGAAGAATTAGGAATGACAATTCAAACGGGAAGACACTCCTCAGTACGTAGATTTTTAATTGACGAACTTTCTAATTAAAATCATTTGATTATTATAATTAAATTATTGTTATTGATTTAGGTTGAAGATGCACAAGTTTGCATGATGTTATATCGTAAACATAAAGAACAATGGGAACAACGAGATTTTATAAAAAAATCCATTAATGTGAAATAATAAAGGGAATACCTTTTTTTAAATTCAAATTTAGCTAATTAATCGGTCACGTGTACAATCAAATAAAAAATAAATTCGCGTAGTAATTAATCATCAATCATACTTTTATTTTCAAAATGGCTAAGTCGGATAAAATAAATTTACTGACAAACGCGTTGTTTCGAACTTTGACAGCGCCCGAGGGCACGATCGTTGAATTTCCAGAGCTAGAGAATGTATTTAATGCTCAAAGCACGGAGTCGTCATTTAATATAGGAACTTCCAGTACCACTGTAATTCAACAACCTCCTTTGAAAATCAATATCTTTGATTTTGATGGGACTTTGTTCTCCTCACCCGAACCAAACTCTGAAATATGGGAAAAACGGTTGACTGGCATGTTGAAAGAAGAAAATAAGATTTTTAGAGGATGGTATCAAGATAAACGGTCACTTGAAACATGTGAAGCGGGAAATAGGTGGAATAATAAACTTGTTGAAACAGTTAAGCTTTCAATGAGAGCTGAAAATCATTTAACAGTTTTATTGACAGGTCGTAATTACAATGAATTTCACGAGATGATTACGGAAATGGTTGAAAGGAGAGGAATGAAATTTGATGTGATGGGTTTTAAACCAACCATTAATCTTCTTGATTGGCAATCATATTACAAGACCCATATTATTAAAACTGTAGGCAGGGATATATATCAAGAGATTATTCTGAAAAAAAGTACGATAGAAGGAACCAAGAGATTAACAACAAAACAATTCAAATTCAATTTTATTAACGATTTAATCTCACATCACCCTTCAACCATTTCAATAAGTATATGGGACGATCGAAAACCCCATCTTAAAGGTTTTGAAAATTTTCTTAAAGAATTGAAAACTCTTGGGAAGATTAAAGAAGGGATCGTTCATATGGTGAAACTTCCGAAAATTCCTCTTGAACCTTTCGCCGAATATCATATGGTGATGGGTATGGTAAATGATCATAATGAACGCACTGTTAATAACAAGATTGGAATCGTTAGGAAAATTCAATACGCGGGAATCTTTTTTGATGATCATGTGATTGATCAATTGAAGAAGAATTTTCCACCTCCTGAAAATTATGGTGAATGGGTTTTTGAAGGGTCATACGTTCATATTAGAACGAATACAAATAACGAATGGCTAAATTCATATTGTGGAGGTAGAGGGGCCATTGTGACGATGAGAGTTACAGCCTTTGGTATATATCAAAAACGTATTTATTGTTTGCAAGTGAGTGAATATGAAAATAGCCAAGCAAGGACCCCTCAAGGTATGCGTAAAGGTAGATTATATAGCGATTGTCCGGTACCTTTCATTAATTTCGCCTACGTTAAAGGTAGCCAAGGATTTGATGATAATACGGAAACGTTTAATTTTAATTGGGTACCAATTGAATATGAAAACCAACTTGTAATTCAAGGGGTGATCGCAGCAAAATATATTCTTGGTTTAGCTTGAGTTATTTTTTCAACACAATATTTATTGCACTATAGAGATAATTGTAGTGGTTAGGAATGAACTTTTTAATTTAATGATGTTGTTCTTTAAGTTTCTTATTCAATAGAGCTAAATAAATACATTAAAACGTTAGTTCGATTATCAATCATTATTAATGTCCAATGTTCAATGAATTAAAATCGCTCGTTAACAAAACGAATATACCTTTAGGATTACGAGGATCGGTATCATAAGGTGGAACTATAACAAACAAAATCATTCGAGTTAATTACAAGTTAATGCATTCTTTTGACAGCTTACAAAAGAAAATACAACATACCTGATTGTGCTGCATTCTCAATTTTATTAACAGTGTACAGCACAAGGCTTGCGCAAATAATGAAAGGAGCCAAGGGCTTTACAATCGGGGTTGGAAAACTACGTCTTCCAAGCAATGCCATATTAGATTATTCTTTCTGTAAATATGTTCTTTTGCTGTAGTGGAACGAATCAATATTAGAGAAATATTTTATTACTTATTTCTCAAAAAAAAAAAAAAATAATTTTTTTTTATTGAGAATGTTAATCCAACCTTAATCAATTTTTCATCGTCGTACACGTGTCGCATTCAAATGATTTTACTATAAAAAGGATTCATTGAAACGTCTGAAAAAAATCAAAAACAAATACAATCATGTCAGAAGAAACGATTAATGCATTAAATACGACGAGTTCGACCGAAAACGAAGCCGATCTACAGTTAAGCAAGTATGGTCAAACCTTTTATTTTTCAACATAAATCATAAAGCGTTTGTTTAAATTTATTAATGTTTTTTTTTTTTAGTCCTGAAGCCGAAGATACTATTTTAGATCCAAGCAAAGAATTCGAAAAACAAGATTCTCAACATGGTACCATGGCACTTATTCTTTTAGCTGCTTTATTTGGGTTTCAATTGTTGATACTTTATTGGAAGTCAAAACATTATCGATCCTTTCAAGCAGTTACTTTGTTTGGATTATGGTTAGTAAATAGCGCAGTTTCATTTCAGCAACTTGATATATTTATTTAATTAATTTCCTCTCTCTTCAATTGACATTTAGGTTAATACCGATGTATCTATTTGGACTTCAGGCACATTTTTGGAGATTTTTATCAATTTGGGTCTTGTATTCAATTGCTAATTCATGGGGTACGAATTTTTAATGTGTGTGTAAATTGGGTTCAAATATTAATATACAACTGAACAATTTGTTTTGATTGTAGTGTTATACTTGGCGTCAAGAAAACCATTGGATCATCAGACTCCAAAGTATATATATGTATATATATCTCTATATAAGCATAATATTGTTTGTTTATATTTTATAATAATAAATTTTTTTTTTTTTTGGATTTTTAGGCTAGTTTATAAATGGTTTTCAATTGTTTATAAAGTATCATATGCTGTCGGCATAACCGGTTATACGATAATTATGTTATATTTTTTCGGACTTGTACAATTATTTTACTCGGGCACTGATGGATTTGAATTAGGAACAATACTTTTAAGTTATGGATTATATTTTGGGTATATTGATTTTATAATTTTACTTTATTTTCTTTCCCGGGTTTATTTTTTTCTCTAACCAAATAAATTTATTCAATTCAGAGTATTGAGCAGGGATTTTGTAGAAATTTGTACGGATAGAATGGCATCGACACTTGGATATTATAATAAGGATGGATTTCCAAGAAAACATTTAAGAGCAAATATATGTGCAATATGTGGAGTGGCTGCCACTGGAACTAGCAATAATACAAATAATAATGAAAATGGCGATCAAAACCATCGGGTATTTCAGCTGGCCTGTAGACACGTCTTTCACGATGATTGTATACGTGGTTGGTGTTTAATAGGAAAGAAGGATATTTGTCCTTATTGGTACGTAAATTTGAATTTTATCTTCCTTTTGTTCTTTGGTACAAAATTTTTTATTAACATCAAGATTTATTTATTTATAGTAAGGAAAAGGTTGATTTAAAGGAGTTCAAAACAAATCCGTAAGTAATTATTAATTTGAAATTTAAAAATTTGCCGGAATTTCTTTTTAATTTTAATTTTAATTTATTTTATAGATGGGACACTCAGCAGCAACTTTACCTAAGTTTACTTGATGGTGTAAGATATTTAGTTGTTTGGCAACCTGTAAGTTTTTAACTCATTTTACATTAGTTTACTTTTTCATGAAAAAGACACGTCTTAATATAATTAATCCACAATTATTTTTATTTAGGTAATTTTTGCATTTGTACAATTAGCTTATCATATATTTGGTTTAGAATAGAAAATAATAAAATTCAATAGAGCCTACTTATAAAATTAGTAAAAAAAAGTATATATAGGAATTCTAAATTTTCTTTTTTATTTTTTTATTGAAAACTTAATATTTATTATATATAGAAAGTGAATCCTTTATAAAATTATCTGTAAATTTTATAATTTTTCCTTTTCTTAATAACGACAATAATAAAATGATCGGAGATTTCATTGGTTAACAATTTTGCATACACGTGATTTATCAATAAATTTTACTTTCCCACATCTTAAATCTATTTTTCGATTTATTATTATTTTTTCAACTATTTTCGCAAAATGGATTTGTTTAAAATTCTCGGTAGTGGTGCAAAATTTAATAAAAATCGATTTAATGAAGATATTACATTATTTGAGGTATTTCATTTTTTTTGATTAATATAAATAAAATATTTACCTAGCATTAAAAAAATTTTTTTTTTAATTATAGCCTTCGAATAAATCGAGGAGAATAAATGAAACCGCCGTTGATAATAAGTCGAATACACAATTGGGCCTTATACAAGAAATTGACTTTTTTCATAATAGTAAAAGTGCAATTAATGAGACTTTAGGCATAACTAAAAGCAAAACAAAAGAAATAACGGAAAACCTAGAAAAAGGCCAAGAAGAAGGTAATCGATGTTGTTTTTTGACGATCGATTTAATTAATTAGTCCGATAATTGAAGTTCTTCTTCCTTTTAGAAGGAGGAATTAATAATCAAGAAAGTAATGACGATGACGGTGACGATGACGATGACAATGAAGATGACAATGATGAAGATGGAAATGGTCAAGTCGACTTTAATTCCATGGATGATGTAATTACGACTTTTGATACTATTTAACCTTTTCCTACAATTTGTTAATTGAAATTCATCGATATAGGTTAAAATGTTTCGCAAGCGACATCGAATTCGCGTTTACGGAACGGATATTCCAAATCCATTTGGTTCATTCGATGAACTTGAGTCGAAATATGAATTCCAATCATATATTTGTAAGAATTTAAAAAACTTTTCATATATAAAACCAACTTCAATTCAAATGCAAGCCATCCCTATTATGATCCATGTATGAAGTAATATTAAAATTATATTATTATTATTATTATCATTATTATTATTATTTCGGGCACACTTATATTTTTTATTTTATAAGGGACGAGATTTAATGGCAATGGCGCCTACTGGGTCAGGTAAAACGTTGGCTTATATTTTGCCAATTTTATATGATTTGAAAGGTCCAGAGAAAATGGGGTATCGTTCTTTAATTATTTCTCCGACAAGAGAACTAGCACAACAGGTTCGATCTTTAATTATCAATTTGACACAATATCTCATAATCTATTATAATTTTTTTTGTTCAATTCTATTAGATTTATAGGGAAATCAAAAAAATGAGCATCGGAAAGAAATTTAAGATTTGCATGTTAACGAAAGCGACTGCGGCTACACAAGCGCAGGCGCCTCAACTAAGAGAAAAATTTGGTAAGTTACTTTTTGAATTTCTATTTGTGATTCTTTTCAATTTGATTTATTTTTGATCTTTTTTTTCAAATCTGTGTCAAAAGATATTTTGATTAGTACACCACTTCGTTTGGTTCACGCAATTCAAGAAGAAAACATTGAATTAAAAAAGTGGGAAATAGCGGATTTCTTTTTTTTTTACAGATATAGATAGATAGATATATTGTTATGTTCATTATATTAATGCAATGTACCTTTTGTGAATTTCCTTATAGCGTGCGTCATCTAATCTTGGATGAAGCGGATAAATTGCTTGAATTGGGATTTTTAGAACAAACCGATGAAATATTTGCTGCATGTTCTAATATGAAATTACAAAAGTCATTATTTAGTGCAACACTTCCTTCAGGTGTTGAAGCATTGGCCAATAATTTTATGAAAGATCCCATTAGAGTTATAGTAGGCTTGAGGTAATCAATCAATGATCTTAATTATTTTCCTTGGGAGAGATGGTGATGGCCAATCGTTTGTGCCAATATGAAAATTTTTTAATTTTTTTTTTCCTTTCTATTTTAGAAATGCTGCTACGGAAACGATTAAACAAAAACTTATCTACGTAGGACAAGAAGAAGGAAAATTAATTGCTATTCGACAATTGATACAAGAAGGGCTTAAACCGCCAGTATTGATCTTTGTACAATCCATTGAACGAGCAAAAGAATTGTTTCATGAATTAATTTATGACGGTATCAATGTAGATGTTATACATTCCGAAAGAACGAAAGCTCAAGTAAATTTATGAATTTTTTTAAATGTGGATCCGATGCTTTTTGTCTTTATTTTAAGTAACCTTTTTACTCTTTCCCTTTTTTTTAAAAAAAAAAAAAATAATAATAATAGAGAGATTCAATTGTATTAAAATTTAGACAAGGAAAAATATGGGTATTAATAGCTACAGAATTAATGGCCCGTGGTATGGATTTCAAGGGTGTTAATTTGGTTATAAATTATGACTTCCCTCAATCTGTGCAAAGTTATATTCATAGAATCGGTAGAACTGGTAGAGCTGGTAGATCTGGTGAAGCTGTGACTTATTATACTAAAGATGATGCTCTTTATCTAAAGAGGTAAATAATAATTATATATATATATATATATATATTTTGAAAATGAGTATTGTTTATTAAATCAACTCTAATAGCATTTGAAAAAAAAAAAAATTTCAAAAAAAATTTTTTTCCTTAAATATATATTTTTGAAATAGTATCGTGAATGTAATGAGAGAATCGGGATGTGAAGTACCAGAATGGATGCTTCAATTAAAAAATCCTTCAAAAGTTTCTAAACAGCAATTACGTAAAAAGCCTATAGAACGTAAAACCATAAGTACAAGATCTACTTATGATCTTAAGAAAATGGAACATAAAAAGTAAGTATCTTTATATTCGTTTTAACAGTTTAACATGATCATTAAAAAAAAAATTTTTTTTTTTCGTTTAGGGAAATTATCGAAGCTTCAAAAAAACGAAAAGCTCGTAAATTAGCCTCTGCCGCAAATAAATATGGCGATAAAGGTGGTGGTGAAGCAGATAAAAAGGAGGACAAAGGTCTAATTAAAACTGATGATAAAACAAAAAATAATAAATTGGAATCATCAAAATCATTGCCTTCAAATAAGAGGAGAAAACGTATTAGTGAAAAGGATTAGAATTAGTTTTCTTTATAGTTAACAATCATAAAACGACACGACTTTTTGTAATTTAAAGTTTTTAAAAAATTTAATATTAATTCAATATTACAAATTTCTAAATATTTTAATAACCGTTAAAAACTTGATCTAAATATTTGGAATAATCATATCCATCAGCTACACCTTGAATGATTGGCATAGCTTCTTTTAAGTATGATACAACGTTCCCTGGTAATAAAGATCTTTTTAAATCTAATTCAGTAACAAATGGCTTATCTCCAGCAACAACTTTAAATGATTGTCGGAGTTGATCCGGTGATGTTTTGTCTTCTGTTACATTAATCATAAAAATAATAAACTATAAAAAAACAAAAAAAAAAAAGAGGATTAATAATTATTCAGTGCAATGTTTATTGCATAGTTGCGTAATCACATATTTACCTGTTCGAAAGTAGCTTCAGATTGTCCTGCGCAAGTTTGATTAAACGTGGCATACAATTCATCATCCTATTCAACAATACAAGTAATCAAATGAATCCAAAGTAATTTATAATTAAAAAGGTACAAAAAAGAAAAATTAACTTACATCATAAAGAAGACCTAAGCTAGCCAAAGCAGCTTTAAATTCATAAGCATTTAATGTATTTGAACCATCCTTGTCAAAATGACGGAAAGTACTTTCAAATTCTTCTAACTGTGCCGGTGTTAAATTTGTCATGCTCCTTGACACGATCTTTATGATGATATTATTGTAATTTTAAAAAAAATTAAACAAGCATAATTATAATCGCATGATAAAAAACGTTCGTATTTACCTGATTTTCAATGAACGCAGATTTCTTATTAACCGATTGTTTTACAAGTTCCAATTCGAATTTTAAGTCATCAACTGAAAATACGGTATAATCATTTTCTTCAATATTAGCTTCATGACATTGGGCATCAATTTCTTCAATACGTGAGAGAGAATCTTCCAAAGGTCCTAATTTTGCAGAAAGTTTTTTCACATTTTCAAGTTGTACGTTTAATTCTCCATCTAACTTAGACAATACTTGCAATATAGAATCCAGACTTTTCTGAAAGCTATTTGCTGACTGAGCAAATGATTTACGGAGATTCTCCTTAATGCTATAAAAAATAAATATTTGAATAATTTAATAAGAAATTTAAAGCCAAACGTTTAATGAGACTTACTCTCGGATTTTATCATTAATAGATTTGTATCTTTGGGCTTCAGCATTCAATAAACTTTGCCATACTTTATCTAAATCGAATAGAGTTAATCCTACAGGAGGATGATAAGACTGCAATACATATGTTTTAAGTTTGGTCTGAATATTTCCAAGTAATGTATCTAAATCACTTTTTTCTGCTACCCATTCACGTTTCTCGGAATTTTTATATCTATTAAATTCAGCAGATTGACGTTTAGCATCGGTATAACTCCCATCAAAACGAGAATTAGCCCAAATGGTTTTCCTATCGTTAACTTTTTGCATTAACTTTAATGATTAAAAGAAATTTAAATATATTAATTTAGAAACGCTCTTATGATTGACTCTACATTACAAATACCTGTTTGACACGTCTTTCATAATCATGTTCCATATCCCAAGCGGATTGCATAACCTCTGCAAATTTTGCTACTCTTCTCCCAGCAATTTCCACTTTATCTAATTATCCAATATATAAAATTACATTTCACTAAATACATATAATACTAAGAAAAAACCAATAATTAATCATCTGACCTAAATGTGAAAATGCATGAAAGTATGCTGCAACATAGGTCATAATTGATCGTTCATCAGGTTTTTGAATGTCACAAACATCTTCTACATCTAACAATTTCTAGATGGATAAATAAAAAAAAAAATATTTCGAGCATTATACGTAAAGAAATTATAATATTACTTTATAAGTAAAGAAATTCCAAATACCGGTATGTCAAGATGCGTTGCCGCAACATCAAATGCTAAACTAGTATTCGTATGACGGTCCGACTGAATCGCGTAGAATACTCATTCATTATCAATATTTTAAAAAGAAATTTCAAACTTTCGAATTCAAATTAAATATTCACCTTGTCTAACGCGTCATAATCTAATAAATCAGGACGATGTCGGTGTATTAAAGCACAGCTAAAAGTTAAATTGATTTTAAATTTCATGAATTCATAATTGTCATTAATTGTCATCATAATTTAATTTTACTTACAATGCCAAACCATCCTGCCAACTTGTCAAATAAAATGAAATTTAACATTATTATTATCATAAATTTATAAATGATTTTTAGACTCGAAAAAATCTTTACCTATAAGTAAAATCACGCACATTAACCTCGGAATAAGGTGCCGTCTTTCTTTGACACCAAAGTAAAAGACCCTCCTTAGCTGTTAGACCCTCTTCACTAAATTTTTATCAAAGAAAGAAATAATCAAATATCATACATAAATACGTGTAAAGAAATCGCTCTGTAATTTCACGAACCTAATATCGGCAATCGTGAATCTCAAAATAATAGTCCATATCATACCAAGAATAAGTTTAAGATTGGTATCAACAATATCTGGTAATAAGAATTTAATTCATTAAGTTATAAAATTAAAAACTTCTCGTGCGTATAATTAGCAACAATATTTAGGTTATTTCTTTCTATTGTGAGATTTTACACACGATTAGTTCAATTTCGCGTATGATTTTACGCGATCGAAATTTATGTTTTAGTAGATATACCTTCAGCTCCAATGTTTGTGAGAGAAACACCTCTATGTTTGATAAATTCTAATGCTTTATTCACATTCTCGACTCTTTGGATACGCATTTTTGGATTTTTGTTATATCTTCCTAAGGAAGTATCTCCAATAATTTCCTAACAACAAAGAAAATTCCACTTCGCGTTAATAAACATTCAGGTAATTCTGAGTGTCAACCAATTATTAATTGAATCTAATGCGTCTATAATTCTCTCGTCATGATCGATGGAAAAAGTTGATCAGTCCAAGATGAATATCAATGGCATTATCCAATCTTTAGTTTGACCGACATAAATATCAATTTCAATGGAATGTATAGTTTTATATTGCTCACCAAAAGCTGAATTAACCGAACTCCATCAGACATTGCACGATTCAAATCGCTAATTGAATCTATGTTATTGATAGCCAATTTACTGTTTACCCTGTCAAAATGTGACAATTAAAATTATTAATTTTTCAAATACGAAATTAAGTGATAATCACATAGTTCATAAACCAACCATTTCGTAAAGGTTTTCTCTTGAATGTTTTCCCAAGTTCTGTCCATTACCTTCGCTATTGAAATTCAAAGAATTTACTATATATGCTGGAAAGCAAAAAAGTTACACTTCTATAAAAACGAAGTTATTCAAGTACCAGTATCTTCAACAACCTGTTGGGAAGCTGGGGATGGATTAAAAGTTTGTGACATTTTTTATTTAAAGTCATTCAAAAATTCAAAAATCAAATAATTTACTCGAAAGGAACGGCGAAAATCAAAAAGTTTAAAGGCACACGATATCATGTGAATATGACGACATAATTGTGTTATATTCGGAAAATTCTAACAAATAAAATATTTTTTTTTTTGGCTTTTGATTTACGCGTAATGAATGCGGTGAGTTTTTTTTTTTTTACCTATAAATTTATTTTTTCTAATGTTTTTCGCGAATTTTGAACGAGTAATATTTACAGCTTGACCACATTATACATTTTTGTGAGAAATATCCAAAAGAAGCTGCTTACCTTTCTCAAGTATACCTTGACTTGACAAAAGGCAAATAACTGCTAAATTTTATTACGTATATTTGAACGAACTTCACAAATTTTTTTCGTATTTTTTTAGTAAAAACTTGGAGTGAAGTCAAAGTCGTAGAAATTGAACCTTTACAAAGATGTGTGATATTCGGCAAGGCGAATACAGAGGTGATAAATAAATTTTCATTAAAATGTAGGAAATGATAATTTATTTTCTTTTTTTATTGATTTCTCTCATACTTATCCACATCCATTATGTTTTATAGACAGAAACTCGAATAATCGTTCCGTGTTCCTCTTCTGAATCATGGTCAATTGGACGGTGAGTGTAATCATACGTATTAAAAAATTTTGTCTCTATAAATAATATTACTAAGATTTCTATTTACAGCATATCATTGTTCTTTTCTTCGCTACAATCGTTTTTGAATGAGCCTTTATATAAAAGGTTTGCTCTTTTTCTTTTCTTTTTTTTTTTTTAAAAAAAAAAAATATTATATATGTAGATAAATATTTAATATACTAAATATATACAGAGTTTTCATGGTCTTTTTTGTACAATAAATTAACATTTAATATACATGTAAAGTGTGAATTATTCTAATTGTTTAAATTATTATTATATTGGTTTACAAATTTCTTTAAAATTTAAATATTTATATATACAGTGTTACTCTTGCCATCACATTCCCCGACTCAACGGTGGTTTATTATAAAGTTCACGAAGGAATTGTTCCTCCGACTAATAATATATGAAGAATGTGTCGGTTGAATTAAGAGAAGAGCAACAATACTGAAAGATGGTTGAAAATGAATGCGATTAAAAAATGGTTTTTTTTTCGATTGTTTCAGAGTTAAATGAAAGTATAATGACAAAATGTCTAAAGCAAATTATTTGCTTCTTTCTTAATTGCATGTTAATTGAGAGCTCCCTCCTATTGAATTAACTGGTAAAATACCCAGCATGTGTCTTAATTTAATTATGAACCGAAAAAAAAAAAAAATAGATAATATATATATATATAATGAATATATATAATATATATATATATATATATATATATAATATGATAACAAGATTTGAAAGAAAACTAAGAAATAACGCCGCCAAAAGTGTTGCCAATAATATATAAATAGCAACCACAATTCTACGGGATATGTTGGATATATTATATATGCTACATATATTGGGGCGAAGAGTTAAAGTATTTGGTAGATGTCCCCAATAACAATCCATATTACGTATTAAATAATATGCCATCCAAAATAAATTATACTTGATGACCAAAATTTACTTCGCTATCCCTAATTATCTTGACCGTCGCGGCTGAGGTGGCGGCGGAGGACTATTTAAAAATCTTCTATTTCCACCTCCGTAAAATTGACCATATGGAATTTCACCATATCCACCATCATAACGCGGAGGAGGATGTGGTAGTTCACCATAAGGAGAGAGTCCAAAGTTCATATGATGTATTTGCATAGCATTATAATATCTAGGATCTCCTGTATCATATGGCATTCCATACATTGGATTAGCATTTTGCCCACGATTTCCTCTTGGTGGATACCTTATACGTCCATCTAATCCAATTATTTGTTCTTCTTCTATTGGATATCGTCTTTGTTGTCTTGGTTGTTGTTGACGTATTTCATTATTATTATGACCTGAGAATTGTTGTTGAGGTTGTGTTTCTCGTCTTTTGTTTCCACTTGTTTCTTTTTTGCTATCTTCAATTGGAACCTGATCTTGAGTTCGTTTATTGGGTAGAGAATTGTCAATTGGACTCGGCGTTAATAATTCTTGATCTTTTTGTCTTCGATTTCGAGATGTTCCTGTAGATGTCGTACGAGCGGAATTTTCTGGCAGAGAAGGAAGCGATACTTCAGTTTTTTCTGATTTCACCAGGTTTAAAGAGGTATTCACTGGTAAGGATACATTCTTTTCCGGTGCCTTTGCTACTATGGGCGTAGTTGGACTTTCCGTTATTTTAGAAGTAGCATTAATTGTATTTTCTCCTCTATTCATATTTCCAAATATCCAAATATCTGTTACAACGTCCGTTGTGTCATGTTCTTTTTTACGATGATGTGAAAATTTTTCCATTTTAGTGAAATACTTGTTACATCCATTCAATGTGCATACAACCAAACTTGTATCATAAATGGTTGCTTTATAACCGACACAATTAGTAATATCATCCTCTGTCGTAATTTCATCTGCCTCTACAGGTTTCGATACTGCGTATTTTACATTCTTTACCAAATTATTTTTTCTGGGTGCTTCTCCTTTTTGTAAACTATCTTTATTCGTATCTGGATGCAAAGTCGGTAATGTCGTTATTCGCGCCTTTCCTTTTTCTATTGTGTTCTCCTCGAGTGGTGTAGATTTTTCTGTGGGTTTAGGTTGCGCGTTATCAAACTTCCCGTTTTTTTGCGGTTCGTTTATTACAGGGTCTTTGGTTAAACGCTCGTCAACTGGTAAGGTATCTGTATCATTCATAGATAAAGTAGTTGATTTAGGTGTTGAGCTACGGCGCGTTGGAACACTCTTCTTAATGGCTAAATGTTTAATAGGATTATTAGTTGGTGTTGAATCTTCTTTAGGTAACGAACAACTTTCCAACTCCATTTTGGAGATGGTGTAAAGTTCCATAAACTAAATATCAATGCAAAAATTGAAATGTCCTATATGTGTTTAAAAGAAAGCTAGTAAATTGGGTGACTTCCTAGATCCAATAAAAGGTGTGAAAGCTCAGATAAAAATTAATTTAAAGGTCCGTGAGTGAAACTTAAGTTGTGGCGGTTATATATAATGGTTTTAACTTTGTTTTGTTGACTTTTATGGTAAAAAGAATTGCTGGTAGTCGGCTTGTAAAATCCGGAGTTATGCAAGAATTAAATGACGTTTGTGATATGAATTTAGATTTACAATCAACTTGATCAATGACCTATTATTTTTGGTGGCTTGGATGATAGAAAATAATTTGACAATTCTCACAATTCTCGAAAATTTTTATTCAGAACGTGATTTATTTAAGACAAAAAAATTCTTATTCTTTTAATTAATGTCTTCTTCAAAATCAAAGTATTGAATTTTTTAAAATATATTCTACTTGTTCTCTCTAAATTTTTTTATTTATTTATTTTGTTTTTTTTTTTTTTTTTTAAAAAAAAAAATTAAAATAAAGGAATAAAAGTCGTGCCGACTTTAACTACATTTGTAGTCTGAAATATCGGCACATACCTCCAACGCCTGAACATTTACCACTTGATCTCAGCTGGAATGTTGATCTTAACTACTTAACGAAACCCGATTCTTTTTTTGAGTCTTTTCAAGCCTCTCGTCTCCCTCTAATAAGTGATTATGACTTGGGAATGAAAACTGAACTTAGTGATTATCCGGGTCTTTTTCTTGGAGACGAATCAGGTCTTGTTACTATTTTATTTTATTGTTCATCTTTTTTTTTTTTGTGTTAACTTTTTTTCTTGAAATATTAGGTTTAAATCCTCGAAGAGAAATTACTTCGTTTGAAATGAATGATCAAGCCCTGCTTTGTGTAGGCAAAGACCCGGTAACTATAACTCAAGATTTACCAAGATTAAAGAGGTTGACTAAAAATGAGCCTAAAGAATGGCTAAGACGTACACAATACTTAGATTCAGAAGCTGTATATAAAATAAATAAGTCATCTACGATGGAGAGTCGGTAAGTGCTTCTTTTATTTAAAATGCTAACGTTCTATGATAATACTTAATTAAGATCATAGAATTAACATTAATGAAAAAAGGTCTCATCCTTTAGTATGGCCGCTCTCAAGCCTAATTTCGATTTGGTAAATCAATCTCACGAAGAACAGATTGAAGCTATTGATAAAACTTTTGAAAAGGCAAATGATTTGGGATTTCTTTCAACTTTGAAACATCCTTCAAATCCTTCATTGAAAGTGGAAGAAATTATACCTGTATTTCCAGAATTTCAAGAGAGTTTACGTGGCCAGAATAAATTTGATAAAGACCCATGGGATGGATATGAATCTGAGGATGATGATGTGAGTAATATAAATTGTTGTAAAGTTAATTGCTTATATTTAAATTTATCACCTTAATATATTAAAATATAGGATAACGGGGAAGAAAAAGAATTAAGGATGAGCAAAGCTCTAATAATTCCAGGTGAAGATCGTCATGGTAAAAATCTATTTCGGTTGTATGTTCCAAGTATGGAATCTGCACAAAGGTTAATGCAAGTTAATAGCTTTGAAGATACAAGTAACGAGGTAATTTTTTATTTTTATTTTTATAATTCTTTTCAATTAATTCGTATTTATTTTGTAATTTTATTTACTTTATTACGATTACAGACATATCAATTTAAATGGGTTAGAGATTATAACATTGACAGTGATACTGTAATGGAAAATCAAGACTTATTATTTGTAGAACAAAATCCAGCTGATGGAAATGAAAAAATATTTTCTTATTCAGAGCTTTATGTCGCATCTGTTCTTAAACGTAGAATAAATACAATGGTAAATAAAATAATAATCGTCTTTTTCTTTTATTTATGTTTAATTAAATAATTTATTAAATATTATAGGAACGGATACAAATGCCTGAACTACAAGGTGGTAGTACATATCTTAATGTAAAATATGTTTCGAATATTGAAAA